CTCTTTATCAAGGGGTATCTCACAATATATATAAAATAACATATATTTCAACCTGCATCAGTATTATGCATTATTCCTTTCAATGTTAACAATTCCCATATCATATTCAATTGCATGATATATACAATCCATTTACCAATACAAACTCAATGTTTTAGAATGTTGCTGTTATTAAGATTTCAAATATTATTTTTGGGAAATCAGTGGGATAACTGACAACTGTCATATAAATATCTATATTCTATTCTTTATTCTGTGGCAATGTTTCTTGCTGCACAAAGTCTATTTTCTTTTCTTTTCCTTCTTATATAATGTTAAGGTGCTTAATTGAAACAAAATTGGTAGTTGGCCATTCAATGCAATGCAGATTTTGTGATGTTTGATTTTTCTTTGTAGCTGGAATGTTCCAATAGTTTTCTGATTCATTTCCAATTTTATACGATGGCGCAAATGTTAAAATTTCTTTCGTTCCTTTCTTTTGTATCTTTTCCATTGTACCATTTAAAATTTGTCAAGTACCTCTGTCGTACACTTGTCACTAAGGTATGGGATATGTTTCTGACATGTCTAGTTGGACATGTCCAACAAATATGTTTAAGTTGTAGAGCTTACTACAAAACTATGCATAAAACTCCCATCATATGCGTAAAAAAAACCATGTTTTGGTAACATATTTTACCTTTAAATAATTAATAAATAAAATAATTATGAAAATGGGATTGCGAATTAGATAAATTTGACACGTATACATACTGGCACCTAATGCCCATACTTGAGTCCTTATAACATAGATTCACAGTAATTTAAGACATAGTAGGTGATTAATTTAGGCCTATTGCAGAAACAAAAGTTGTTCTTTCTTATGATTTTCTACACGACATTGTCATTTCGCAATATATGCTGATCTTTCTCTTTTGCAATGTCTTCCTCAGGCAGTAGTTTCTGGGAAACCAGAGCACAGCCTTCCCACGGGAAGTTCAGAGTTGGCTGTAAATCACATTGACAGTAAGTTGGTGATGGTGGCTGGGGTGGTAATTGGTACTGAAGGCTGGTGGTTAATATTGTTTAAGCCGTATTAAACTTGGCATAAATTATTCAAATATTTGAATGGAAGAGTTTAGCACTTATTCAAATATATGTGTCGGAATAAAGTATAGCTGAGTTCATTCTCGTTGTCTTAATATCTTATCAGCAATTATGGCATGTGTTGCAGTTTGACAGTGAAGGTCATGACACTTCTGTTCTCGTGTTGTAGGTACTGATGGTTGTGGGAGCTGGACATGGACCTCTTGTTAGAGCATCGTTGCAGGTCTACTCTTATGTCTATGTTGTGTGGAGATGAACATGGATGCAAACACAAAATTTGGATTTGACATATTACATAAATGCTAAATGCTAAAATGTCGACTTCCCTGAAATGGAAAATCAAGAGAGATGTCGATATTTACGTGTTCGACCTGTGTTAGAAAAGTTTTTGGTTATATATACACACTCATAGATGTATATAAAAGAAACTATTTTAAACATCTAGGATGTCATAATTAGTGTACATACATCAATGCTCAACTCCTTGGGAGTCGTGCTTGCACTACTTTGCTTTATAGTTTTTTCATATTAGTTGTGGCTTATGTTTCTGAAAGGGTCTGCTTGATTTTATTGCAACTTTGATCTTTTTTGTTAAAAACCTTATTTTGCTTTTCTTATCTTCATAATAGGTAGCTGAAGAAACTGGACGGAAGTTGAGAGTTTATGCAGTGGAGAAAAATCCAAATGCAATTGTCACACTTCATGTAAGTTGTCAAATCCAATCATTTGAATCTGATTATTATTGGGCCTTGTTATAATGTAATTTGATGGTGTGGTTCTTGTTATGCATGCAAATATTGTACCCACTGAAATTTTTGTAAAACTAGACTTTTTTAGGCTTTTACACTGGTCTAGGGTTTGTAAGTTAGTTCATGTCTTGATTATGTTGAACATTGGTCTGCAATAGTCACTTTGGAATTAGGAGGAGCAGGATTCTGTATTATTTGTGTTGCACTTGTTTTTCAGAAGGATTACCAATTTAAATCATATAGATTCACTTATGCTGACCTTTTTTTTCCCCTTCCTCTGAATTTTCTTGTACTGAACAGGGTATGAATGACAGAGTTGTCCCACCCTCAATGACAGATTTTGTCCAGCGGCTTCTACCAAGGGGCGATGGTGCATAAGCTCCTTTATAACAGGGTATGCATAAGTTGTTTCTGTTCTGCTTTGAAGTTGTTCTGTTTGGCCTACTGTTCGAAGCTGTTTTTGCTGTGTTATTGTTCTATTTTTCATCTTTTGGTTGCTCTTGATTGACTTCTCACCAATCTTTGTGCACTTTCCGATTTGTTGATGTAATTTTGCATGTTTTTTGCTTTATCATCAATAAATCTTTATCTTTGCTGTTCAAAAAAAAAAAAGGAAAATGGACTTCAATCTAGGAAACTAATTCTTTGTGGTGTGAGATGGCTACACTCATATTAATAACATTAGAGGATTGATACAATCTCAATATACTTTTAGATGTAGAAATGGTTCAATTGCTAGGTGTCCTGTTGGAAAACACAGTAAAAATCTTCATATACATCTTTATAGTGGTATACATTTTGGTTATACAAATAATTTTTGGAAAATGCTAACGACTGCCCATAGGGTTGTCATTAATGTTGGTAGATGCGTAAAAAGTGTATTGAAATTGGTAAAAGTGTATAGAAATATGTAAAAGTGTTTAGAAATGTGTAAAAATTATCTTGAAAATCAAACTTTTGTCTTTTTGCTTCACTAACAGTCTATCAACACAAATTATTCTCTTAGAAATTGAATTATTAATCGTCCACCAAAATACCAAATTTAAAACTTATTAATTATTGAAGTTTATGAACTTATTAGGTAATTATTAAAGGGTTGACCGTGCTTATTAGGTATATAATTTGTCTTCATGCTGGACTCAATTTCATTTGGTTGATTGTTCCTTTTAGTAGTCTACCACTCAAATGTACTTATATTCTGTAGACCAAAGGCTAAATCTCCACCTCAAGATGCTTTACTAAAACTAGAAACAGAGCAAACTTTCACTGAACTATCTCAAGAGAGCTCCATGTTTGTTTTTAAGCTGGGTTTAGTTAAGCTCCAATGCTGCCTCTTGATGAATGGGCTTGTTGTTGATGCTAATGATACTTGCTTGAATTTCTTGTTTAGTTTTTTCTTTTGGTTTTATCTATATGCAATGGACAATGGTGAAATTTTATATGTTACAAAAATCTGTTTAGAATGTTTAGAATCTGTTACCAAAAATGTGTTACTAAAATGTGGGACCTCTAGTGATGTTTAGAATGTCTCATGTCATTTCTTTATGTCAGTAGCTTTAGGGGAATTGAGTTCTATCCTTTTTTGTATTTTTCTTTCATGATCTTGTCAATTGACCTTGCGTCGGGTCTTTGTCATTTTTGTAAAGCTATGGTTATAATTTATGCAGAAATCCAATATTTCTGGCCTGAAAGTGCTCTTATTATTTCTTAATAATTAGGTCCATGAGAAGGATGTAATTGGTATCACACATCACTCCCACAGAAACCTTGTCGCGACATATAGCGAAGACTGCACGATGAAATTGTGCAAGCTTCCTCAGTGGTTGGTGTTTCTGCTGTTAGTCCAAAATGCAATTTAGGTTGCTTTATTTATTTTCATTTTTCTTTTCTTTTTTTCTTTTAAAGGCTAGTTTCCTACTAGTTCTTTTGCCTTGAGAATTCCCACTTCTTTTTTTCTCTTGCTTTGTTTGTAATATTTTAAAATTGTTTTCTTTATGTTGTGTTTGGTTGGTGAGGGAAGAGGATGATGGGTTTATTCATTTAGAAAATGGATAACCCATTTGGATTTGGTGGGTCCAAGGCAAAAGTAGTGCTCATTTTGCCCTTAATGTGCATGATACATTCCTTTTGGGGTCATCTTTTTACTAATTAACTTGGATGTAGGTCAACATTAAAACTGACTCGAAATTGTGAGGTTTTTGTTTTGTGTTCAAATTATAATTATTGGGACTAGAATAGAATCAGTGAAAAATATATATAAATAAATAAACTATATGGATGTATTTATTTATGCCTCAGTATAAATTGGTGGCTTTTGCAACCTAACAATTAAATTGTTTGACAGCATCAGGACGGTCGCATTCACTATGATTTGCTGTACTACATTTATATATATATATATATATATTAAAGGGGAAATTACATGGCGTAAATAATTATAAAAAAAGTAGTAATTTTTGTTTTTGTTATTGTTTTCTATGAGTGCATAGAAGATGCTTTTATTTGCACGCCGTTGTTCCTATCAGTTAATACCATCTTCTTTTCTTTTCATTTTTAAATTATGATTGTTCTTCAAGTAAGTTATCTTTTTTGGACAAAATAATAAAATCTAATTTTTCATGATAACCCACAACACTATATATATATGAGTAATGCAATTCATCACTGTCAGTAGGAGTAAATGCTGATAGTGTTTCACAATTGGAGAGTGCTGTATGGAAAGAACGGCTGGAAGGTTATTCTCTCTCCATGTCCAATGTTTATACTTAGTTTTTCTGATTTCTCTTGAACATGTACCATGAGTTTTGGTGATCATGAAGGAAAGAATGAAAGAGCGTCAAAGTTTATGACGTTGGGTTTACCACTGTATGGAACGTCACTTGTGCCATTCCTCGAATTTATGTGCTATGTTATTGCCTATTGGGAAATTGGAAAGTAAGAAAATATTTATTGTGCTGAAGGGCCCACTTCAGGTGAATTGCAAATTTTAGGTCATTTAAAGTTAATGGAGCTTTGATAGTTAACTATGCCCGAATAAGTTCATGTTAGGTCTTCAATAACTCATCATTTGTAAGATATGCTACCTAGAGAAGTAATTAGTGTCTGATAGAACTGCTCAACCTCCAATTAGCAATCATTGAATTTTATTTGTGTTGGAGTAGGATTTGACAATGACACAGGTATTTAACTTTTTTGCTTATCTTACTGGCAGAGTTGTTATGGTTGTTAGCTTATTAATCATCATGTATTGAAATTTGCAGGTACAACAACAGGTACAGTTTTATTATGCCAGCTAGTTGTCTTAATACGATGTACATGTTTATAGGATTTAATTGATTTTTGCAAAGATACGGGTTTGCAATCCAATGTTGCTGCCACTATCATGCTTCTCTGATAAATTTTCCAATTCTGTTTCTTTATTAGGTGCCTTACATCACTACTGCTTTGATGGATGCGAAGCTTGGCACGAAAGGGCGCAAGGATCTTTCTGATTGGCTATCAAGGCAACTTAGTGGATTAAAACTTAGAATATGAATTATGTATTGTGTTGAATAGTTAATGAATTAAAACTTAGGCCTCGTTTGGGAACAGACTAATTTAGTAACTTTTTGGCTATTTGGCTAAAAAGGTAGGTCAAAAAAACTTGTATGTTTGGGATGACTTTTTGGCTAATTACGAAAAGATGTGCAAAAAGTAGAGAGAAAAGAGAATCTTTGACTTTTTGGTATGGGTTGTTGGCTTTTTGGCTAATTTAGTAACTTTTTGACTAATTGGCTAAAATAGCCTCTTGCCAAACGAGGCCTTAGTGGATCTTTTTGATTGGCTATCAAGGCAACTTAATGTATTGTGTTGAATATGAATTGAAAACTTAGAATAGTTGTATTGTGTCGAATGTTAATGAATTATGTATTGTGTCAAATGTTAATAATTTAGTTAATTTGAATGATGCTTTAAAATTATAAGTTTATTATGGATTGATTGAATTATAACATCATTACAGGTGTATTGTTTTCTTACTTTGACGACCAATTTATTAGTCGCGACATCCAAAATTATTTTTTTTCACAAAAAATGACAATTGCCGACCAAGAGTTTTGGTCGCAAAAAATGCATCTATTGCCGACCAAAAATTTTGTTGGTCGTGGAAACTCACTTTTGCCGACCAACAGTTTTGGTCGCGAAAAGTAACAATTGGCGACCAAACTAATTTTGGTCGCAGAATGTCACAATTGGCGACCAAAAAATTTGGTCGCGAAATGTCACAATTGGCGACCAAACTTTTTGGTCGCGAAATGTGTCAATTGGCTACTAAGAAATTTGGTCGGCAAAAGGTGACTTTTCGCGACCAAAGTGTTTTAGCGACAAAATGAATTAGTCGCGGTAATTAAATATTTAGCGACCAAAAATTTAGTCGGCAAAATCCAACTTTTGCCGACCACCTATAATTTTGGTCGCGAATTACTTTTGCCGACCCTCAATTGGCGACCAAAGTAGCGACAAAAAAATTTGGTCGCGGATAACTTTTGCCGACCAAAAATAGACTTTTAGCGACCAATTTTTTTGTTGCCAAAAGTGTTAATTCTTGTAGTGTGATGTAACGTAAAATAATCTGTTTTTACACAGATAAGCTATTTTTTGCCCCCTTTTTTTCCGTTGCAATAAATTCCTCCCCATTCCAAACCAAGTTAAACGTAATTGGATTACTTATTTTTTTTAAATTTGAAATGCATTAAATTGTCTTCGAAAGATACCTTAATCTCTATTTTTGAATTGCCGCGTTGATTTATACCATTCTAATAATGATAAAAAAAAATTCTAATAAATTTATTTTTCAAATTTTGAAAAAAAGAAAGAAAGATGATATATAGGCTTAGTAAATATTTATGTTACATGTGTCAATACCTGTAAATAAATTTTAATTTTATTTGAATAGCTGGCAAAAGCTAGATTGTGGTGCCCACTTTTTAGCGACACCCTGACCCTCCCCCCAAGTTTTCCTATAAATATATGAGACTAGGGTATGCCCGTACCTGAAGGCACGGTGAAAATATTATTGGAATGAAAATGTAATTGAATATAAAAATGTTGGGTTAAAATGTAATTTATTTACTTTGTTGGGAAAAAAATTTGAGGTGAATAAATAAATATCCATTGTTATATAGATATACTAGGGTATGCCCGTGCCTGAAGGCACGGTGAAAATATTGTTGGAATGAAAATGTAATTGAATATAAAAATGTTGGGTTAAAATGTAATTTATTTAATTTGTTGGGGAAAAAATTTGAGGTGAATAAATAAATATCCATTGTTATATAGATATATAAAATGAATAAATAAATAAATCGAGAAAATAAATTGGCTTCTCGGGCCAGACTCAAAAATAGTTTCCCCTTCGATTCTGAATTTTGCTGGCAGAGCTTTAGTCAAATGGCATGAAGGCAAAAGGCATTCCATTCCAGCATTTGAAAATGGTGATGTAAATATTTTGATGCACTATTTGTCTGATTGCAATCTCATTTCATAAAATTTTCATTACTGTTTGGAAGCCAAAAAAAAAAATCAATTTTGAGCTTGTCATGAACCCCAAGTAATTTGCTATAATTTACAGCTCACAAAGCATTCTCAAGCAGAGACAAAGAAAAGAGACTCAAATTGCTATTCACAAAATTTCGTTACAAATTTGCTGCCCGAATTCTCTAATCCTTGTACTTGAATTAAATACAGTAACAAAAATAGAAATTAAAACTATTTACGTGTCACCAAAATCTCCAGGGATCCTTGTATGGAGGCACATAGTTTTCTGTGGGAGGGAGAAGGCGAAAAGATGCTGCAGTTTTTTTCCAAGAACGGCCCCATCTGTATCACATAGAAGAGTAGCATTAGTCATGAATTTTTTATTTGTTTTGATTTAAAGACAAAGTAGAAGAGAATCAAAATCTTATGTTGCAGTGGATTCAAATTGCTCCATTTTGTTTCCGATATACTTTGAAGATACTATTCCATGGTGGAGTGCTCATTTATTTTCGATAAATTTGAACATATATATTTGAACAAATATATACAAATTTCAGAAACAGAAAGATAGACTCACAACATTCCATTGCTTGTTAAGAGTTGAAGCACTCAGAGAGTACAAATAACCTGCAATCAAGCACCTTTGAAGTTAAAAACATAACAAAAGAATATATATATATGTATGTGTTGAAACCTAAATAAAACACACACAACATCAACCAAAAAAATAAACATAAAACAGAATTTCTATTACACCAATTTAAATTCTTCTTTTTTGTTTTCTTGGTTTGATCTACCAATGTAAGTCAACGGCATTTCAAAAAAACCAGCAATAGATCAACCACGGTGAGCAAACTGAGCACAATATTTTTCCTTTACTTTTTGTTTTCTATCCACTTAGATGAAATTTCATGCAAAAAGCAAAAGCCAATTCAACACTCTTTATCATGTTATTTTCATTTGGAATTTACCAATATCTCCTAAATTTTATGAAACCATCAAATCAATGTTAACAATCATGTAAATGGAAAAGATATAGTTACATAATCATGTTTGCATAACAATGAATAGTAGAACTGTGAAATAGGGTCTACCATCTCGTTCATGATGGAGTAAAGTTTTTGGAAACATTTTAAGCGTTTATTTGTGCATCTTTGGTTCAGTATGCTGCTGGGCAAAAACTTTACTCTAAATTGGTAAACTACACTGACCACCAGAAGTATAAAAAAAAATACACTAGATGAATCGAAACAAAAATGATTCTGCAACAGCCAAACCAAAAAAAAAAAAAAAGTGAGAGAGAAAGAAAATCCAAAAAAACAGAGATGAAGGTACCCACCAGATCGAGTAACAACAATCTGGAAGACAAAAAAGAAATATCAAAACACAATCAGAAATCAAACAAAAAACGGAGGTATAAAGAGAGCATCAACCCATTTGAAATCAAAAAACGGAGGTATAAAGAAATCAAAAAATACACTAAATGAAAGAACAAAATATGACCATGAGAGAGAGAGAGAGAGAGAGAGAGAGAGAGAGAGAGAGAGAGAAGTGGGTGTCAATCTAATTGAGCCATTGGGTGGGGATGACGATGAAAAAGAAAAAAACAGAGCTATAAAAAACGGAGGTAAAAAAAATGAATGAAAACAAAAAGAAAGTGGAGTACCTTACCTGGAGCCATTGTTCTTCCTTTCAATTGAGCTTTGAGCTTTGTTCTTCCTCAGAGCTTTGTTCTTCCTCATAGCTTTGTTCATACATACATACATATGATGTAAACTGCAGTGGTTTGGTAAGAGTTGATAGGCAAATAAATCTGAACCATTGAACCATTAAATCTGGACCATTGAATCTTTTTTGAATCTCAGCCATTCTTTTTAAATTCGATAAATCTGAACCATTAAAGATAGTTTGTGAGAGAGATATTTTTAAAAATAAATCTAAGCCATTGCTTTTCAATTAGATAGATCTGAACCATCAATTTCAAAGACATTTTCAAATTAACCCTTCCATTGTTATATAGATTTTAGGAAGCCATTACTCATCATTTCTCTCCTTCTAATTCATTGAAGAAATGGCCCCCAAGTCTAAAAAATCGTGATGAGATCCATTGTTATCTTACAGAAGCTTTATTGGAAGACAGCCTTTGCACTGCTTTTAATGAAGATGCGATAAGACAATTGATCTGAACTTTCCTCTAACTAATCTTAATACCTTTTATGGTTATACTGCAATCACGATGAATGATTTCCCTGATGAGGTAAAAGTTTCATGTTTTATTTTAATAAATTTAATGTCATATTTTTTACTTTTGTGTGTCGATCATCTTTCTTGCCAAAATAAGAATATCTAAGAGTAGAGTTAGAGAACTTATTTAGTGAGGCATGAGATATAGACCTAAGACTTGTTTATTAAATGAATATATTTGTTAAAATAATACTAACAAAGTAACTTCTTATATGATAAAATATCTCAATTCTCTACTTAAGTTTGACCTTTTGAATGCATCTAAATTTGAGAGATCCGTTTTATGATTGGTGTTTGCAACAAAATTGAATCATACATGTACTTCCTACTTACTTAAAACATAAAAGGAACATTTACAATTGAAATTTTCACTTGTTTGGTTTTTATTTTCTTCAACAAGATTTTTTTTTTTTTTGAAGTATTGACTAAATCTAATATTATCTCTTCTCAAACAAAAATGGTTTGATCAATTTTTAATAATTAATTTAAGTAGTTTTAAGAATGATTTAGAACTTGCATATGTGTGTGCGCACGTGTGTGCACACGTGCGTGTATCTAATAATGGAGCTAGAGAACTGTTTAGTAAGGCTTGAGATATAAGTACCTAAGACTTGTTTATTGAATGAATATATTTTGTTAAAATAATACTAACAAAGTAACTTCTTATATGATAAAATTGCTCAATTCTCTACTTAATTTTGACATTTTGAATGCATCAAAATTTGAGAGATCCGTTTTATGGTTGGTGTTTGCAGCAAAATTGAATCATATGTGTACTTCCTACTTGCTTAAAACATAAAAGGAACATTTACAATTGAATATTCTTTTGTTTGGTTTTTGTTTTCTTTAAGAAGATTTTTTTTTTTTTTTTTTTTGAAGTATTGAGTAAATCTAATATTATCTCTACTGAAACAAAAATAGTTTGATCAATTTTTAATAATTGATTTAAGTAATTTTAAGAATTATTTTGTACTTGCATGTGTGCGTGCGCACGTGCGTGTATCTAGTAGTGGAGCTAGGGAACTTGTTTCGTATTATTTTAAAATAATACTAACAATAACAAAGTAATATATAGTTTGTTAGGATTTTTATCTTATAAGTTTTTGTTTGGCAAATTCCTTCATTGACAAAACAACATTTTGATGTATGATTGTCTTGAATATATCCTTTTTGATTTTCTCAAAAGTGTAGGATTTACTTGTTTGGCAAGCATGGGAAAAAGGATGACTGGTTTTCTGGTAAGGAATCACGAATTTTGTGCCTCAAAATGTGGAGAAAAGAAAGACTACAAAAAGTTAGAAATTGTAACTTCTCTATCATGCTCATTTGCGCCTGCGAACATTATCATCGTGCCCGTGATGTGCATATTGGCAGTCGCGACCAGTGCCACAAAGAAACACACTCCTAGAAATTTTCCTGTATAACCTGCAAAGGGATCTCATGCCCGCGACCAAGATGGTAGCGCCCGCTAAGGTGTATTATCAATTTATAGCAGGCTCGTTCAGATGTGTTTCTTCACCCCTTGAGTCTGTATCTTTAGTCTGTATTCTGAGAGAGTGTTGTAGTGAGGTTTCATTGTTTATTTATCTTATGTTTGCTTGATGATTCATTGTCATTTGTTCCTTCATGAAATCATCAAGTCCAAATCAAATCACCGAACAACTTGTGAGTGTTCTTAAAGAGTGAGTGAGTTGTGGATTCAACATCTCTTTATGAAGGCAGATGTCCATAGATTGAAGGTCAGAGTTCAGTTAATTACTTGTAGGTCTCGAGCAAGTGCATGTGCCTGGATTGGTCATTGTAAGAAATCTCTTGTGCTACTCTTTTTCATAGTGGATTGTTATTGTGGTCAAGGGCCAGTGCTTTTTTAATCACATGTAGGAGGATTCCAACTGTGGTTTTCAACTGTAGTTTTTTCACATAAAAATCCTTGTGTTTTGTTTGGTTGTTGTCCTCTCTTTTATTGTTGTGCTTGGTTGATTTGAAACTCTTAAATCAATATTTACAAGATCATGGGACTATAATTTTTCATATTTGTTAAAATAATACTAACAAAGTATCTTCTTATATGGTAAAATTGCTCAATTCTCTACGTTAAATTTTACATTTTGAATGCATGAAAATTTGAGAGATCCGTTTTATAGTTGGTGTTTGCAGCAAAATTGAATCATGCATGTACTTCCTACTTGCTTAAAACATAAAAGGAACATTTACAATTGAAATATTCATTTGATTGGTTTTTATTTTCTTTAACATGATTTTTTTTTTTTTGGAAGTATATTGAGTAAATCTAATACTATCTCTCCTCAAACTAAAACAGTTTGATCAATTTTTAATATTTAATTTAAGTAATTTTAAGAATGATTTAGTACTTGCATGTGGGCGTCCGCACGTGCGTGCATATCAATCGAAAAAACTAAGAGATGAAAATGTATTGACTTTGAAGCCAAAAAAGAAATTGAAATAATAAACTTGTATTTTGATTTATTTTTGTTCTACATGTCAAAGCCATCAACTTTGTGTTTAACATAGCCATCTAATGAACTAAAGTGATTTAACATCAAAGTACTTGGATGCAAAATTATGGCCCTTTTATATCTTTTGTAGGTCAAAGAAAAATGTTATGTGCAAGAAAAGAAAAAGGAGTAGCTATGGATTTGATCTGAATTCTGATGTGGAAGAATCAAAAAAAGTCTTGTTTGTCAAACTTTTATCAGAACCAGAAGGTCATGACAATGGTCTCTCTGATGAAGTTGACACCATGGATTTGGCAACCCTGGTTTGCATGGGGTGCAAGCATTGCCATATGTACTTCATGGTGCCAAAAAATGCCCCAAAATGTCCAAGTTGCGAGAATGATGATATGCTTGATTGCTCGACCCTCAACCGCCCAACGAAGAGAGCAAGGATGAACTAGATCTTGTTTTTGTGAATGTTTATGGATTGTGTGTGCTTTGGAGTCTGTGTTTCGAACTTATGCTAGCTTTACATGGCTAGTTATATTGTCTTATTATCAATCTTTCCATTTTGTTTTAAGTGTATGTGGTCATTGTATGCTTTTGAGTATGTGTTTTGAACTTTTGCTAGCTTTACATGGCTAGCGATATCGTCTTATTTCAGTTTGTTTAATAAAGTTTGGCTATATAATGCCTGCCTATTGTCTAATTATTCTTCTTCTTCTTCTTCTTCTTTATATTGCAAGCTATTGTCTTATTACCAGTTGTGCTTTTCAGTTTGTTTAATAAAGTTTGGCTATATAATGCCTGCCTATTGTCTAATTATTGGTTTTCGCATTCTTCTTCTTTATATTGCAAGCTATTGTCTTATTACCAGTTGTGCTTTTCAGTTTGTTTAATAAAGTTTGGCTATATAATTTTTTTTTTTTTATCGGCAAAAAAACTTTATTGATGGAAAAAACACTTTACATCAATAAAGAGGAGCTTAGAGCTATAAGAAGCTCCAACCTCCTAGTTTGAGAGAAACCAACACACAAAGTAAAACAAGAAAACCAAAGAAATTAAAACCAGCAACTAGCAGCCCTTCAATCAATCCAAGCCCTATTTTGTTTAATCCAACACAGCAGCAAAAAAAAAAAAAAAACATTTAAGGCACCTGATAGCATTACCATAACAGCATGTTAACCAACAGAGCAGCCTCCAAGACTCTGAGTTGCACCAAGACCTACCAACAGCAGGTCCAGATGTACTGACTCACCCAATTGATATTTGAATCAATCTTAACCAGCACAGTTACAGCATTCCAATTGTGATTCATCTGAGGCACCTCATCACACCAGTTGCAGCTCAACTTCCATTTCTGATGCAACACCAACCAGCGTACCTGATGCAACTCAGCATGCCTTTCAACACAGAATGGCAACCCCTCCACCCAGCAGACCCGAGCAACCAGGATATCTAGCATCCCCCAAACCTTACTGCCACCTAGGATATGTAGCATAATCCAGCCGACAGAGCATCCCCCATAACTGACCCAGTCCAAACATGACAATAAGGAGATAGAACCCACCAGCCAGAGCACCTCATCATCATGCAACCAGAACACCCCAGGGCTAATCATCAAGATCAGAACAATAGACATCAACTCTGTTGAGCTACCAAAAGACACCATAATTTCAATCCTATATTACCTTCCAACTCTATAAGCTACCAGAGCAATCTGCTGCCTGAACTCCTAAGGCAAGCACTTTCTAATCTGCTGCAGATTATGCACCAGATCATGGACAGTGTATTTCAAAGCTGGGACATAGGATTTAACCCACAAAGCAATTCGTACCTCAATGGTTTCACACAGAGCACCGAAATTAGGTTCCACCCCATTGAACACAGAGCCGTTCCTCTGTTTCCATATTGACCAGAAAATAGCATATGGTATACACTCCACAACTTCTTTTCAATTTTCCTCATACTACAACCATACCACCATTGAAGAGCACTCTGAACCGAACCAGGTGAAACCCACTGCATCCCCCACCTTTTGACAAAATAAGACCAAATCAGCCATACATAA